ATTTTAAGAAGTTGCTGTGTGAGAATTAATTCGAGATCGAGCTAACGAAACGGTAACCATCGTGATAAGTACCGATATACATTTATTAAAAATAAAAAAAAAAAAAAAGAATCGATGTTGAACGAACGATAAAGTTATTTAGTGCGTAATTATATATGAAAGAATGAAAAAAAAAAAAATTTTTGATATATAATCGAGGAAAGTAACGACACACAATACACCGATGACCAAAATACTGTTTGTTGAAATATAGTTGTTTTATTCCTTAGGCCTCGCATGTGAAATAAATAAGCAAACGATGGATGGATTCGATTTAATCGGAGAAATGATAAGCGCGATCGGCTCATCGAATTATACGTCTGACCGTATACTGACTTTATTACTACGAACGGTTTTACCACGTCATAGCTCAATAATAACAAAAAACAAAAAAAAGGAAAAGAGTGTGCTATGTGTCACGCGAGAGAAAGATTGTCACGCAGACTATGTAGAAGAGGAGCAGTTTTTGTTTTATAAAACAGACATTAAATAGTTCGTAGCGTCGCGGCGATGCAGTGTTTTCCACTTGTCGAAATCATCGATGTCTCCGAATGCAAGCACTGCAAACTTACGTGGAGCGTTTAACCGCCGATATAATCCAGATTTTTAAATTAATTACAATAATGTTACACTCTAAATAATTAATAAAAAAAACTAACGGGATTATAATGCGGATTAAACATGCAATTCCCGTGAGCGCCATTGAAGATCTCTTAGAGAGGATATACAATATATTATATACATATATATATATGTACACATATTTTATTTGTATATATATATATATATATATATATATATATATATTGTATATAATTAAGAAAAAAACCACACACACAAAGTGACGTAACGCGATACGTCGCTTTACGAACATACCGAAATCACATGAATACGGAACATCGTGAATTAATGAGAGTAAAATAGTCGAAGAAGGGAATATATCCACGGAAGAATTTCGTCTTTCCTAGAGATCCTTTAAGATCCAAATAGAGATATTTTTCTGTTCATTATGTGAGAATTTCAAGACCGCACCCTGGATTAAACCCTGAGCAGAACGACGTCCGTCGATGATTCCGGTGTAATATAAGATTCATCGACGGGTGTCGGAATCACAAAACCGCATCGTGTAACATTAAACGACGAGGACGAGAGTCTCTCCAGGACATTTTTGACCTGTTATAAGGAGCAGCCTTCGGGGTCCAATTATATATACATATATATATACATATATTTATATATATTTGGCCCTGAATTCTTTTTCTCGTTACATCTTCGAGGATCTTAGTTCACCTGTGCAATCGTGAAAAAAAAACGGCTTTCCCATTATGTGTAGATTAATGCATAAAAAGAAAAAGAGGGAGAGAGAGCGAGAGAGAGAGAGAGAGAGAGAGAGAGAGAGAAAGAAAGAAAGAGAGAGAGAGAGAAAGAAAGAGAGAGAGATTGATATTAGAATTGATTGAGAGAGAAAAATGGAAGGAGGGAGGGGAGACATTACCGTATTGTATCTTCGACAGAACTCTGTATACACGTACATATTGGTGTTATTATTGTTCTTATTATTGCTATTATTATCGTCACGCTATTACGTATCTTATTAGTAAAAAACGGAGCGAACAATTTATGCTCGTATGAATATCATTATTAGATCATTGCGTATAATCTCTCTTATTGTCGTGCGAGAAAATTCGCACGCGACGGGACACATTGCGCGGTCACAACCGCTCGCAAGCCGATCGTATCGATATGAACGCGTATAAATACTTAATTAATACAATTAAGTGCTTAATTGCGGTGACGATCGTGCAAGACGTCGCGTCGCGCGCGCACAGCTGAACGGTGAGAATAACCATATTCATTTAATCACCGGAAGATATTTAATGATTTCATTATTTCCGTAGATATGTGTACATATATAGGATCGCGCAGAAGGACTTATACACACGCATACTTTATACACCTAGACAGTGATCGGAGATCTGTTAATTGATGTTTCTCGAATACACACGGAACAACCGCACGCGTTATCACGTCCTCCGATGTTACAACAAAAGCATCGGTCGTTGCGTTATACGATGCATTGTCGATACCGTTTCAAACACAAAAGAAAGTTAGGGATATATCGACATTAATTATAAACGCGAAAGAGAGAGAGAGAGGAAAAGAGAGATAAAGAGAGAAGCTTCCTTCATACACAAACAAATACATATATACAAATCAACATATACAAACTGTCTCGAGGAATGGTGTTATATCGTAAATGTGCGGAAAGAGAGATTAAAAGTCGGATTTCCAAACTCGCGTTTCACTTGTTGAAACTCGCTTCGAAATTCCTTCGCAAAATTCATTCTCGATTTTTGTTTGCGCATGTGTTCGCGACGATAACGACGATAACGACGTAACACCACACGCGAGGCAGAACGAAATGGACCACACTAACACTCGAAGAATTACAACAACAAAAAAAAAAAAACAACATGTGTATTTACATAAATATGTCCATTATAATATATACATAATATACATGAAAGCGGGAAATAGTCACGCACACGGGAACACGCACACACCAAAAAAGCAGAATACGCATAAAAACAAGAAAAAAAAATGTTAAATTACATTCTTGGAAAACACGTGCGCGCCACATTGTTAATATAAATTGCGATCCATAATATGTGATTATTAATATTTACAATATAATTATTATCTTGCATTGTCTAGTCATACGTTATTATTGTATAACTAACAATATTAATTATTACTTAACCTGTACTATCTAGTCGCATTATGTGTTGCATAAAAAAAAAAAAAAATTATGAAAATTTCGAAAGCAGATCGAATGAGAGCGAGAATACGAAAGAACGAGAGATAGAATGACTGAGTGAGAGAGAGAGAGAGAGAGAAAGAGAGAGAGAGAGATTATTGATGATAATTTAGGCAAGACGAGATAATTACGCGATGGCATCAACGGTATAGCAAGTACAATTTTTTCCGCGAGAGAATGCGAGATATAAAATAAAAATAAAAAAAAAAAAAAAAAAAAAACAATGAAAGAAAAGAGCAATGAAAGTACGGAGGAAGGAGAGCAAGAAAACAAAGGGCGAGTACGAGGCATTTCTTTGACAGGTGTATTAAGTAGAAAGATCGACCCCAGTCAGTAAGCAAAGTGGACAAAACTATACCGGCAGATTGGCAGCAATTGACACATCCATTGAAACGTAATTGCTGCCATTTTGACGACAAATTGTCTGTTTTCGAGACAGAGATTTTGTGCTATCAAGGGAAAGATGAAGCGATTGTGATCGAATCGTAGCGATCGGATTTATAATAGAGAAGCATCGATCACATTCGTTGCGACAGCGAGAAGACTGATTAATCTGGTCCGCGAGTATTAATATACGCTTTAGGCTTATTGACATTTATAGACGAATTTTTCGCCGTGCGACGTTCGTCGGCTCCGCGCGAAATTTCATTTTCGAGAATCGAACAACCCTGACTGATTGATATTTACAAATCGCGGTGGCGCGATTTGTGAAAATAAAACGAATTAATGAATATAAAAAAAAAAAAAAAGAAGATGACATTACACATTTCTCTCTTTGGAGAGCGATATTTTATCAACGATTCCGGGATGATTTACACGGATCGGGCGAAACGCGCACGACAATCAGCGAAACAGATCGCTACGTTTTCGATCGATATCGTATATACGTCTGTGAGGCAGTTTTTTAAGGGAAAAACGCGGCGATAATGACAATTTGGATGTGATGTGATGATGATGATGATGATTATGTTAAGAAAGACGTTAGTGACGATAGTGAGAGTCAGAGAGAGAAAGAGAGAGAGAGAGAGAGAGAGAGTGAGAGAAAGAGAGAGAAAGAGAGAACGTGAGAAAAAAATAGCAAGAGCCATGGTACACGGGCGATTCAGTCGTATCACAATCTGTTTTTTTTTCTTTTTTTTTTGACATTACCAAATTTATATTTCTCCAGTTTGAAAAATGTGCACATATACAAGCGAGAGACATTATTGCGTCTCTCAAAAAAAATCAGCGACTTATTCGCGTCATTGATTGTGCAGCGACGGTAATTGTCGTATGAACCACGGCTCTGAAATTACTGTCGTGAAAAAAAAACAAAAAAAAAAAAA